AAATACAAAGCCTCAAACAGGAACAGGAAACAACTCCAAACAAAAGCCCAAGAGGGTATAAAACCCACTCCCTACTACATGTGCTCACTCTCTTTTCTTCCAGAGCCATCTTTCTGTCTGGCTCTCCTCTTCAATAAACTGCAACCTTCTTTCTAAAGCAGTCACCATGTTGTTTATTCCCGGCTTGGACTGAACCCTGATGAAGACTTTTCCTTCTACACTGCTCTCTAAGTCTGGATGTTTTCTTGCAAAAGTTTCATTACCCAACTAGGTGACATATTCGGTGCTAATGATGTTACCTAGTTGGGTAATGAAAAGTCTGCAAGAAAACGGCCACGAAGGACCCCTCATTTCAACCCTGAGCTACCAATATTCTCCTTTATTGGTAGAGAGGAGTGAGCTGCACTTCAACCTTGCATGGAGTCTTTCCAAGCACCATCTGCCCTCTGCCTCCTCTTTGAGGCTTCCTAACCGGAAAGGCTTCAGGACGGTTCCTAGACTCCCGGAGTACATGAGGCTGGAAAGGCTCCTGCAGAGAGAGGGAGGTCCAGTTCCTCTCCCAGATGTCTCATGCCAGAAAAACAGCTGTCCCAAAGGGCCGAGATGCTGACCAACGAAGCTGCTCTGTTGGGAGCCCCCTCTGGGCTGGCTGGGAGATGAAAGGAGTAATCTCTTCAATGAGATTATTAGATTGAAGACTTAATCCCCAAATCCGTCTGTACATGAAAACTACTCCCCCCTCAATCCTCCCCCTGCCTCCACGAGTGTTGTTCGGCAGAGAACGAGAGAAGCAGGAGAGCCCCTCTTACAGGAGGAGCAGGAGGGCGGAAGGACTGGATCCTGACACCCCCCACCCACCCCTCCAAGATTTAATGAGAAGTGCTGAGGGACAAGGCCAAGCCACCAGGGCTGAGAGCGGGACAGTCCATTCTGGACTTTTGTTAGGGCAAGTGCGGTCCACACAATGTGGGAGAAGAAGCCAATGGTTTGTGCATCCTTGCGGTTCAGCCTGTTGTGGAAACCAGACCTTCCCGTGAAACTATAATCTGCTTATTGATGGGTCTAGCACAGGGGTCCTCGACCTTGGCAACTTTAAGACTTGCGGACTTCAACTCCCAGAATTCAAAGCTGGCTGAGGAATTCTGGGAGTTGAAGTCCGCAAGTCTTAAAGTTGCCAAGGTCGAGGACCCCTGGTCTAGCACACAACTTGAATGCAGCCATGTTCTCTTAGCCTGCAATTATGACTCCAGTTTAGCATGTGTGCAGGGACTACCAGGTTTCTTTACAGCCACCTCTCTACAAGCTGTGATTTTCCTTCTGTAGGCATGTGAGACACGAATGGTAGTCACCCCCTTGGCTGAGCCTCCCGGAGGCAAAGGAGGACTATTCAATGGCAACGCCATCAAAGCCTCCCATCCCCCCCTTTACTTCTCAGCGAACAGTCACCAAATTCTGCCATGGAATGTCCTTCTCTTCTAAACCACTTCAGTGTTTATCTAACTCTGTTTCTCAAACTGGGCCACTTTTAAGTAGGGTGCACCTACTCCCAGAATCCCTCAGCTGGCATGTGTTGGCTAGGGAATTCTGGGAACTGAAATCCATGCATCCGAAAGTTGCTGAGGTCGAGAAACACTGTTCTATATTAATCATGTTGTGTTGTACTAAGTGATTTCAGTGTTTAGTTTTGTATTTAGTCATCAAGACGAAGGGTATTCCTGCTGATTGCATTGTGAATCTCTATTAATATTTCACTTAATGTGCTTGGTCTATGCTGAAGGGCCTATGCAGACAATATAGTGAAACATCCACGAGCACATAATAGGGATGTGTGTGTTTGTGCATGTGCAAGCTTTTTATAAAGACACAGTCTCCCGTGCTCCTGCCCGCTTCATAGATGCATGACCCACCATGTTTTCTTAGCACCAAATGTGGATTTCCTGGTATACCTACCCTCGCTAGATATCAGCCTGGTTGGCTATTTAAGATGCTGCCCCTCACTGAATTTAATTTTTGCCTGTCTGTAAAAGCCTGTTTTGATTCTTTAATGCACTAGGTGTGTTGCCTGCCATTCTGAGCACAAGGGCTCAAAAGCGCCCAGTTGCTGCAGCCACATTGGCTGACCGTGTCCCATCTGCATAAAAGGCTCCATTTTGGAGCCACCAAAAAGGCTCTATTTCAGGATGTCTGCAGTATTTGGTCAAAAGGTCAAGATGGCAGTCACAACACCGTCATCAAATCTCCGCCTGCTTTCCCGTGCACTGCGTGTGTCTCGAGGGCTTGGCGCCCAGCTGGCTCAGATTAATGGCCAGCCCAGTCAGGTGAGAGGCTGGCCATCCTTCAGCAGCTGGCATTTCTGGATTCAGGTCAAAATGGCAGCAATGTACATATTTCTTGAATAAGAAATATTCAACTGTGGGGCTGCAGCCGCCATCTTGACCTTTTTATACCTTAACCTGCAGACGTTCCATCTGTGTAGAATAAAAGGCCACACAAAATTCGAGCAAGAGCCTTTGACTTGGACGACCAGAGGATGAGTGTGGGGTGTTGATAGGGCATTGACTCACAATGTGGCTTCTTGAGTGAGATTGTTTGTTTGCAGACCAGCTGGCGTAATGCATGTGACCGGATGCAAATTGGCAAAGTGCGTCCAAACTGTACACTTGAGTCTCCTCAGCAATCCAGGAGGCCAACCTGGCTGACATCCAGAGACCAGGCTGGGCTGAGCCTCCTGCCAGCTTCAGCTCCCCCCCCCTTGACTTCTTGCAAAAGAAGGAAGCGGAAGGCCATGTGGAGGGGGGCTGGGCAGAACCAGGGGTACCCCTGGACCTGTGGGCAAGGGGTTGCCTTCCGTTGTTTCCTCTGAGCCAGTGGTGGGATTCAGCCAGTTCGCACCCCTTTGGCAGAACCAGTAGCTAATTTTTTGTGGCCCAGGCCCAGAACGGACTTCCGGAAGTGGCATCCACATAGAGAACCGGTTGTTCACCTATTTGAATCCCACCACTGCTCTGAGCCATTGGGGGGGGGGATGGAGAAAAGCAGCAAGTTTGGAGCTTCAAGAAGACACCGGAGCAGCTGAGACTGGACACTGGTGGACAGTCAGGCCCAAAGAGCCATTCTTTCTTGCTAGTGAAGTATAGGGGGTCTAGAGCAGGGTTTCTCAACCTTGGCCATTTTAATATGTGTGGATTTCAACTCCCAATATTCCACAGCCAGCATGATGGCTAGGGAATTCTGGGAATTGGAAGTCCACAGATTAAGTCGCCAAGGTTGAATAACACTAGGCTAGAGTAAACCAGGCAAATATTACTTGTCTCCTAAGGCAAGGGCAGTCTGCAGCGTTGTGCCAGCATAAAATGTGGGATGCCTCCAACAGTATCAAGAAGAGCAAAGGGACAATTATATCCATGCTGCAGAGCTGCAATGTTTACAGGTGGCCTCTGGTGGTGGACCATGCAGTGCTGGCCCCTTCCCCTTGAAAAGGGGTTGCCTTCGTTATGGCAAGGTGACCGTGACAATGGACAATGATTGCCAGCTCCAGCTTTGAGGGGTCCTTGGTGCTCTCTGAGCTTGGTTGTTTTCTGGCAGATGTTTCATTACCCAAAGTAGATAATGTCATCAGTGTAGGTCAGTGCTAGGCTAGCCCTGATGATGTTACCTAGTTTAGATCATAAAACGTTTGCAAGAAATCAATCAAGTTCAGAGATCATCAAGGACTCCTCAGTTCAACCCTGCTACAACTGTCTTTGTTTATTATTGAATATTATCCTATTATGTTATCCTATTATATAGACCAGTGATGGCAAACGTTTTAGAGACCGAGTGCCCAAACTGCAACCCAAAACCCACTTATGTATCGTCAGGTGCCGGGTGGGCATGGCCCATTGGGTGGGCATGGCTGCGGTGGTAACGGCAGACTGGGTGGGACTAAAAAGTTCAATCAATCAATTCCAACTTTGCGAGATCTTCCTCCCCCCCCCCATGAGAAGTTGAAATTGATTGATTGAATGAACCTTTTTTTTTTTTTGCACATGGCAGTGGAGGCCTAAAGTGAAAAGTTTTTATAAAACCCAGCTGAAGGCCTAGGACTGGGGCGATGGTGTGCCACCTGTGGCACGCGTGCTATAGGTTCGCCACCACAGATATAGACTATCACTGTGTTGTATCTTATGATTTATGATTATTGTATTTTATGATTATGATCGTGATTCATCACTTCTTGCTTGTATGTACACTGAGAGGTTATGCACCGGAGACAAATTCCTTGTGTGTCCGATCACACTTGGACAATAAAAATTCTATTCTATTCTAAGCTCCAGTCTTTTAGGGGCTCTTAGTAGCCCCTCATAACAGAGTTGTGGGCCTTGACCCCCAGTTGCCCCACAACGGCCCCCTCATCCCCTGGCAAATAAGAGCCAGCCTCATGGAGAGTATTTGCTCAATATTATTTCTTTGTTTTTCTGCACAAACATATATCGGCACCCCTTAACGTGACCGTAGGGAGACAGAAGAAAAATTTCCAGAGGCAAAAATCAAGGCAACACAGAGGAGACGGAAGGGGGCATTCGCACGAGGCGCCTTGGCCAAGGAACAGAAGTGCAGAGCACAGTCTATGTCAGGCACTGGTCCCGGGGCCTCCCCGCATTCAGGGACCCCCCTCTTTCTCATCGCTTTGCAGGGTTGGCTGGAAGAACAAAAGCAGGCAAGGCGTTGGAAAAGGAGACCTCTATGACATCCAGCCCTCCGTGGCTGCTTCGGGCACAGGCACCGCTGCCCCCCCATGAGGTTGCCTCCCCCTGGCAGCGCTTCGGATGCAGGAGACCCCAAGTCGTTCACAGTGTGGGGAGGGAAGGAGCATCAGGCCAGGTGGAGTAGGAGGCAGGTCACCGCAGCACACCGTCGGTGGGGCAGCCGGCATTGCATAGGAGCTCAGGGCATGGCACGCCACACAGGCCCTTTTCTACCCTCTGGGGCTGGGTCACTGCTCAGCTCGAGAGCCGTCTTCAGCGAGACATCATCCTGACAAACTCTGTAGAAAAGGGATGGAGGCAGTGAGACAGTGTGTCAACGCTGCAAATACTGTATATTTTTGCTTTGACAATATGCAGAACTGTTTGGTATTTTTAGGGTTAATGTGGAGCAGAAGTGGGTGGGGGGGAAAGCCCAGGAAAGAAAGAGGAAGGAAACCTTTGACCTTCACACTAATTGGATAACGTGATATATGACAGCTAATTTAGGGAGGGAACATGCTAATTTAACTGCTCAGAGGAAGAGAATTTCAGATCTTAGCATCAACCTTCCCTTATGCCTGTGCCGACATTTTGTAACAATAAATTACTTTTGGGAAAATCAATGCCTGGAAGTTCTTTGAAGTGTTTCATTAGCCGGAACCATAACACAGTGCTGCACAGGGCCTTCTCCCACTGACCCAGGCTCCTTCTAGACCCGTGTTTTTCATAGTTGGCAATGTTACGATGTGTGGACTCCCAACTCCCAGAATTTCCCAGTCAGCTTTGACGTTTTAACGTTGCCAGCTTTGAAAAAACACCGATTTAAATCTCATTGCCGATTCAGATTTACACAGTTTTCTGGAAACAGAGAGTGTTTCTGTAAAGGAATTTAGGGGAAGGTATGACAAAAGACATCCAAGGAAGACCTGGAAAAGCAGTTATGTGCTCAGAGATAGAAGGAAGCAGGGAAAAGAAACTCAAACTAGTTAACCTTGACTTTGCTTAGTACAAGAAGGGACAGATAGAAACCTGGGCAGGCCTTCAAGATGGATGTCAGGTCAGGTCAAGAAATTGACAGGGGGGAGGGGGGATCCCAGGAATTCATGCATTTATTGCATTGATTTGATTCTAGCTGCCCAACAAAAATGGACTCTGGATGGCCAACATAACTGCAAAATAATTGAAAAAAGAGATTATATCAATAAATGGATGCTTCTGTACTATCGTGGGATATGGGATTAAATAACATAATCTTGGAAGCCTGTTCAGCTATCTGGCTGTTCTTTCTTGTACTAACTCAAGCTTCTCCTGCTTCTTTCTGTCCATTCTAAACAGCCCTTCCCTCTCCTCCCCTGCCTTCCCCTTCCTTTCCCTCCCTCCCTCCCCTCCCCTTTCCTTCCTTCCTTCTTCTCTCTTTAATAGCTCTTTCCTAACTTCCCCATGTTCAGTTCAGAATTTCTTCAATTTCTCAGCCCCAATTTCCTAACACTGAGAACAATTAACCAGTGGAACGACTTGCTCCCAGAAGTCGGGGCTGCTCCATCACTGGAGGCTTTTAAGAAGAGATTGGACAGCCACCTGTCTTGAAATGGTCTAGGGCAGGGGTAGGCAACCTTGGCTCTTTTATGACTCGTGGACTTCAACTCCCAGAATTCCTGAGCCAGCCATGCTGAGGGGAAAGGGAGAGGTTTCCAAGCTGAGCCATGCTGGCTCAGGAATTCTGGGAGTTGAAGTCCACGAGTCATAAAAGAGCCAAGGTTGCCTACCCCTGGTCTAGGGTGTCCTGCTTGAGCAGGGGGTTGGACTAAAAGTCCTCCCAACTCTGACATTCTGTATTCTGTATAATTGGAGATGGTGCTGGGGGATGGGAAATCTGCCATTTATTTTTTTTTTGCTTTCTAAATAAAAAGTCCACCTTAAATTTAAGAATTATATTATGTTCATGATTAAGGATTCTAGGAGTTGTTTCAAGGTGGGCTGGAAATGCTGCAAGTAACTGTATTAGCAGGTCAGAAGGCATCTTGAGAGCATTTCCCACAGGGGGTTTTAGCAGTCCTTCTGATCCCCCACATTGGCCAGGAAAGCATATTTTCTTTTCGCCTGGCTGCCCCAAACCAGAAATGGTAGAACATCCAGGTTTGTGTCTGGAGACCCATTTGAGTTGGGGGGTGAGAAGAATCCCCCCCAACACCTGGCTCTGAGTCTCCTGAACTCTTGGCTGCAATAGGTGCAGAAGCCTCTTACAGCCAGGGCAGTTTCCTTTTTGTAACCTACGAAAGTCAGGGGTGAGGGGTGGTAGCTGACCAGAGGCCCCTTTCTGCTCTCCTTCAGGCGTGTGTGTGTGTGTGTGTGTACAGATCACCCCTGCCATTTTCACAACAGCTGGCTGAGGTTAGTCATGAGAGTTGTGAGGTCCGTAGACTCATGCTGAGCCTTTATTAGGTGTCTCTTAAACGTCTCTACATGGTGCAGTAAACAGGGAAGAGACCCTTGGTCAGAATCCATTTATATTTCCTTTCTATCTATCTCCTCTGATCTAAAACCAAATCTCACCTTCCCCTGGATTCTGCCATACTCCCAAGGGGGAGGGGGGATATGCATGCAGGGTTATGACTTTCACTTCCTCTATTCGCTCCAATGTAACCTTTTGTTTATTGCCGCTGGGTCTGCTGCCCATTACAATGTAACAAATTGCCCCCTGCACTATGCATCTCTCTGAACTTTCTTCTCCCTAATCTGGCAGTTAGGGGAAAAAAAAGAGTGGGGGGGGGAAAGAAGTACAAACATTTGGAACCTGGCTTATTTCTCCGGTCTCAAAAGGAAGTGTGAAGAGCTGTGGAACACCATACTACAAACGTAGAAGGACCGATGTTATCTTCCCTTTCCCACGATGGACTTAACACCTGGGGATTGGCCGGTCTGAACCGTCCGGATGAACTGTGGGATGGGGTTTGCTTAGGGACCCTTTAAAGTATCGATCTGTAAAGAATCCCTCAGATCATGTCTATTATGCCTGCTATCAACTACTCTTAATAAAAGTTCCTGTTGGAAGAAATTGTTTCCAAGAGTTCTGCTTTCTTAAGATGTGGGGTTGAAGTGGGTCCTTACACCCTTCCCCAAACAGCCACGTCTCCCAGCCAGCTCCGTGGCTGCTTCCCTCCCTGTGGCCAATGGACAGGCCATCCCTCTGCTCACCTTCAAAGTCCACTCGCCCATCTCCGTTCAGATCAACATCCCGTATGATGTCCTCAATGTCTCGGTGTCCCACCTGCTGTCCGAGGAGCTTCTTCATAGCTTCTCGCAGTTCATTGGTGCTGATTTCCCCGTCTCCGTTGGTGTCAAACTGCACAAAGCACACCAGGGGGAACCACAGAGTTGGTGGCTTCCCAAAGGCTTTCCGTGGACCTCTCAAAGCTGCACCTTGAGCCAACCTAGCCCGTTGCGTGGCAACGCTTTGGTTTTACATCTCAGCGCTTTGAGAGTTTCCCTTGAAAGCCCTTGGCCAATAGCAGCATCAAGTGCAATTAAATGCAAGTGTGAATTGCACTTGCAATTCACAAGAAGAATCAAGATGAAGCCATTCCCAGTGGGAGGATTAGGAGGGAATTCTCCTTATCTTCAGAGCCACAACTTTGGCAGCTAGAAAGCAGGACTGCGTAGCTCTTGAGCCATGGCCTCCAGAAAGTGTTTTGGCGTGTGCAGGAAAGTGAACCTGACACCTGTCTCCAGCAATTTCTATCAACCCCCTGTTCTCAAGAGCTGCAGACAGGTGTGACTTGCATATTCCACGTGCCACAAAGCACTTCTGGAGACTCAGTCTGAAGCACACCTACTCCAACTAGGGAGGAAGCAGCGATGGAAAAGAAAACGAGAAGAACAGTAGCAGCAGCACCAGAATGTCCAACCATCAAGTAAGGGGGGAAAAAACCACCAACAGAATCGGGAAAGAGACTTTTGAGCTCTCCCAAGAAAAAGGCAGAACAACACAAGCCTCCCTCTGGGAGGAAGGCAAAAAAACCAACAACCACAAGGCAGATTTTGGAACGGGTGACAGCGCAAACTGGTTTCTCACCTCCTTGAAGGCGTCCCGCAGCTCCTTCACCCCAATCATGTCGGCCGTCTCTGCCAGCAGCTTGGGCCCCATCAGTTCCACAAAGTCGTCAAAGTCTACATGGCCGCCCACTGAGGACAGAAGGAGGGAGAATGTGCAGAAGGCGGTTACAGCCGAGCACCCCCATCCGAGCCCAGACTCCGGCCACACCGTCTGGACGCCAGGGAATGAGCCCAGGTGGCCCCACACCGGGTTGAGAAGGCAGCATGCGCTGGGGGACTCCATGCAGCTGGATCTGTGCCTAAAAGGGCACAGAAACAATTGACATCTCAAAAGGAGAAGACCCCCCCATGCCAGCCAGGGATGCCACCCACCGCCTCCCCCTCCCCCACTGTTTTGCACCTGCTGGAGGAGGCAATGGAGACTGCATGTACAGAAGAAAAATAAGTATTTTCAAATGCAAGCTTCCTACTGAAGTGTGTAAAAGGCTTATTATGAGTTCATGTCAGGATGTCACAGCACAAATGTGCACTTAAAATAAACCCATGAGCTGTAGACCTGAAATTGCAAGGATCTGCTACTTCTCGTGATTATATTTTCAGTCTGAATTTCCTAATTTAAATAGACTTGGCATCCTTTTTTCTGTCTGACACTGCACACTTTTATGCAACCGACGTTCTCGGCACACCAGTTCAGTGGGATAAATCGAGGCTGATGTATGTTCACAGCTTGGCATGGAATAAAAGCAAGCAGATCTGTGTTCAGACTGACTCCTGACCCAAAATATTCCCAGGATGGGGATTTACAGAACATTTGCGGCTATTACAGACACGAGGAACCCTGGCGTGGCCTCCCTTAACAAAGTGTGGAAAACATTTTTCTCCAGCGAGACTGGAAATATCCTCATAAATACTTGACAAACAGGCAGAACAATGTTTCTCAACCGTGGCCACTTTAAGATCTATGGACTTTAACTCCCAGAATTCCCCAGTCTCCCATGAAATCTGGGAGCTGAAGTCCAAAGTTGCCAAAGTTGAGAAACACTGAGTTAAAGTCTGTCTACAGCACTGGTTGCCTTTTTTTTTTTTAATAGCTGATCGCTAAGGTTTTCAAGAAAAGATTGGATAACTATTTGTCCAAGATGGTATGAAGAGTGCTGTCCTGAGCAGGGGTTGGACTAGAAGAACTCCAAGTTCCCTTCCAGTCCTTTAACTCTATGCTTGGTATAAAAAGAGCTGCTAACAGGGCAGAGCGCAGGGCTTGGTGACCAAGAGGGCATAAATGGGGCAGGAGTAGATCGGCTCAGCCTTGATATTCAGGTTTATACATGCATACATGTGCACGCACGCAAACACACACACACACACACACACACACACAGACATACAGGCAAGCACAGCCATTGCCTGGGGACCACTGCAGCTCTTGGCACAGGATTCTCTTTTTTCCTTACATTTCAAGATGGCAGCCTGACTGGACACACACACACAAGGGTGTCATTTTCTTCTTTTTCATAACTTCCAAAGAGTCGCTTATTTCCCAAAACAAAGTGATGCTTTGTCTTGAATGAGGCATCCGGGGGTTCAAGGCAACAGCAGGTCCCCTGATTAAGTCAGCCTCCAACTCTCTAGCTTCCCGGCTGCTGCTAATTCACCGCACAATAATGGCCGCCGCCCTTCTCGGAGGAAAGGGCAAGACCAGAACCGAACAGTCTTGCCAGGCCAGCTGGAACTGATTTAAACCAACAGGGGCTGGTTTCTGTGCCCCCAGCAGGGCCGGTCTGCAGCAGCGGGAACCCTGGAGGGAACGGATGCAGCAAAGCGAGAAGGCGATTGTGCATGCGGGAGTCACATTCCCATCTCCATCTGGCCTTGCGATGGGAACTGTGCTTGGGGGACAATCCTTCTGCTTGCCTTGCTCTGAGCGAGCGGGAGGATGCGCAAGCCGCTGAGCAGAACCCTTCCCCACCTTCATCCCCCTAGACCAGGGGTAGGCAACCTTGGCTCTTTTATGACTCGTGGACTTCAACTCCCAGAATTCCTGAGCCAGCTATGCTGAGGGGAAAGGGAGAGGTTTCCAAGCTGATCCGTGCTGGCTCAGGAATTCTGGGAGTTGAAGTCCACGAGTCATAAAAGAGCCAAGGTTGCCTACCTCTGGCCTAGGCCTAGGCCGCTTTGTGACTCGTGGACTTCAACTCCCAGAATTCCTCAGCCAGCTATGCTGAGGGGAAAGGGAGAGGTTTCCAAGCTGATCCGTGCTGGCTCAGGAATTCTGGGAGTTGAAGTCCACGAGTCATAAAAGAGCCAAGGTTGCCTACCCCTGCCCTAGACTGCAAAGGGCTCCTCAGTCTGCCCCCCCCTCAGAGTGTGGGCCAAAGAGAAGCCCCCGGGGGGGGTCCAACCTTTGCTGAAGCAGATTGAGTGAGGGGAGCCAGCCCCTCTCCAGGTCAGCTCTTCAAGATCTTGTGGGAAGTCAGCCCCCCCAGAGAAGGAAATATTAAAAAGGGCAGAAAAATATATTTCCTTCAAGGATCTTAAAGAGACAGAAAAGCATGCCCACTTTTCCTTGATAGCCCCAAGTCTGCCTCCCCCAAGCAGAAGCCAGCCCTGTACAAATGCAAATGTAAACCATCAGGAAAGTTGGAGCCAGAAGCTCAAGAAGACAAAGACCTAAAATCTGCATACCCCACCTGTGACAGGACATGGTAGGATTAGTTCACAAAGGCCAAAGGGCGCACCCAGACTCAGGTCAGAATACGTGACACAGGAAATAGCCTCAAAGTTCATGGAAACTATTCCAAAAAGGCTAGAGAGGGTATAAAAACCTAACTACCCACGTGCTCACCGCTTCTTTTCTCTGCTCTTTCCCTTGCAGGGAAACCATCATTCTGGCTCTTCAATAAACTGCAACCTTCTTCCCAAAGCAGTCGCCCTGTTGTTTATTTATCCCCGGCTTGGATGAACCAGGATGAAGACTTTTCTTTCCACAGTCTTAAACCCATTTTTCTGCTTTCTCTACTCTAAAGCAGTGTTTCTCAGAGCTGAAGAGGTGTGGACTTCAGTTCCCAGAATTCCCCATTCAGCATGCTTTAAGTCCTGTGGACTTCAACTCCCAGAATGCTGAGTGGGGAATTCCAGGCATTGAAGTCCACACCTTCCAGTTTGAGAAACAGGGGTCTGGGATTACAAGAAAAAGGTCAAGAGGTAACATTTTTTTTCCTAACTTAGGAAAAACAGATAACAGATTTTATCAAAAGGAATAAGCTTGCGGTTGTTCTTTTGTTTGCACTACATTCTCCTTAAAATGTAGGATAAAATAATAATAACAACAGATACCATTACGTCACCCCAGGTTCTTGAGAACTATAGTGAAGAGCCAGTAGCTGTGACCTCATATTTTTATGTATATAATAATAATAATATAATCCCAGAAATTGAACCCAGAACTTGTGGCAGGTCTACCAGTGCAGTAAAATGCAAAGGCTCCCTTCCCATGACTTCAAAATGATGCTTTGAGTGATGCCATCTAAAATTCGCAGTCTGTGATTATAATTAAAAAGGAACTGGGTACTTTGGGGCTTCTGTGCACTGCAGGAATTGAAGTGTTTTAATGTGCCTCACGCAAACCCGTTCACCTCCTTAAAGCTGCATGCGAGTTTCGGAACGATATTCTGTTAACTCGACTTTAGGTTGAGTATATTGTGTGAACGAAGCCAGGGAGTCCTCCTATCCTTGCAGGAACAGCTGAGCTGGCCGAGGAAAGAACTGTGAAGATGCACAACGAGGGACCCTCTGAGGCAGCCATACAGGGGAATGGAGGGCGGCAGACCCTCGGAAACGTGGTCTCTTGTGGAGTAGCAGGCCGACCCTCCTCCACGTGATGGCTGAGCGTTCAGGTGTGCAGATCTCACCTGTGGCCATGCAGGAATCATGCCTGGTGCAAGGCTGGGGCAATGGGGGAGCAGGAGGACTGGGCCAGAGAGAGAACAGCATCAGGAGAGGCGGTGGCCAGGGGAGGGCCAGCACACCCCCCCACCGCGGCAGCAGGCGGGTGGGTGGCTGCCACTCACAGTTCATGTTGATCTGCTGTGACAGCTCGATCAGCTCCATCTCGGTGGGCATGTAACCCATGGTCCGCATGCAGTTCCCCAGGTCTCGGCAGTTGATGTAGCCGTCTCGGTCTCGGTCAAACTCTTTGAAGGCTTCTTGCAGCTCTGTGGGGGCAAATCCAGGTGAGGAGGGGGGACAGGACTTTCACCCTTGCCCCCTGCAAAGTCTGGCCCTGGAGGGTCTCTCCTCTAGGCTCTGGGAGGGGCTCTTTGCCTCCCACTGCTGGCCGGAGCTCAGAGAGTGTCTGGGAAGCCAGCATAGGCAACACGCGGGTTCCTGCAGACCCCACTTCCTGCCATCTCTGAGATCTCACATCAGCTTGCAGTGAAGCCAAGACCCTCCCCCGGATCTTCCAAGGGGGAGCAATTCCCCAAAAGGACGAATTTGGTGCTTGGCAGCAGCCCAGGAATGTCATGCAGAGCAAGTGCAAAAACTGCCAGTGGACTCTGCAAGGTGAACAGGGGTCCTGAAAAGAAGGTGGTAGAAAGGGCAGTTGGAGCAAGACACCCACCACGTATCGTCCTCCCCAGCAGGGTAAAGAAGCTCGTGATTTCGCTGTAGGCGCCTTTTGGGGATCAGAGAAGGAGGGGCTGTGATAAACTCCCCCCCCCACACCTCAAATGTCTTTTCAGTCATTCCCAGGGGCCCCCAAAGAGCTACAGGCATGAATGTCTGTGGAGATTCTCCATCATCCAGGTCATGGTTGTCCCAAAGATGCTTTTCCAAAAGGCAACTGGCCTTCCTTCTTTGTTCTTTGAAAATGTTTTGCTTCTCCTCCATTTCTTCATTTCTAACCGACTGGTGGAGGATGGAAGGATTTATATTCTTTGCAGTCATCTCGTTGTTAGCACAATGAGGCTCAGTCATAACAAAACAGTTTTCAAAGAAAAAAAACCCAAGAAAGTCCAGTTGCCTTTTGGGAAAAGCACCTTTGGGGTAAAACCACGCCTGATTCCACTCAAAGCATCTCAGAGGATCATGGTTTAAACCAGGGGTTCCCAACCCCCAGGCCGTGGCCCACTACCTGGCTGCAGCCTGTTTGGAACCAGGCCATGCAAGCGGCAGGCAGACACATGTGCAAAAGTCCACTTGTGAGTGCGGCGGGCCCATTCCCTCTCCCCCACCCCCTCCACCAGATCAGCAAGCCGGAAAGGTTGGGGGGGGAGCGCTGGTTTAAACAAAGAACCTCTCCCCCAGCTAGGAACTGAAAGCCTCTTGGACCACAGACCACCTTTGGTGAATCCAGAGTCCAAGATCCTCATTCTGGCACCCCGGGCAGATGCTTCCCTGCTGCCAGTTCAAATTCCCACTTCCAAATCAATCTGCCACCCAAAGCTATTTCTCCAGTTTTCACACTTCTCAGCATGTATGTAAGGATGCAAGTTTTCACACAAAGTACAATCTAATCTGTGTACATTTGTGGGTGGGAAATACAGAATAACCACTCGCAAAGATAGATTGGTAGACAGGTGAAAAAGAGAGAGAGACAGAGAACATGCATAAATGCATATGAATTTTCATGATTTTTTTTTGTTTTGTTTAAGTTGCCAGTTGCTGGAGAAGTGGGAAAGAACTAAAGACTGGAAAAAACGAGAACTGGAGACCCCAACATGAATGAATGGCTCCCTTTCCCTTTCACAGTCCTCTCTAAACCAGGGGTCTCCACCCTTGGCAACTTTAAGACTTGGGGCTGGGGAATTTTGGGAGTTGATCCACAAGTCTTAAAAGTGGCCCAATGTGGAGATCTCCGCTCTAAACAGTAGAAAAGAGGAAAACATCTCACCGTCAATTTCTTCTGGACGCAGCTGTCTGTCCTGCAGGGGAAAAGTTAAAGTTAAAGTTAAAGTTCCTGGCTCTTCCTCAGAGCATACACCGAGTGCACTGACATGGGAAGCGAAGAGAAGGAACGAGGGGCCATGGGGGGGGTCACCAGGCCCAGCAGGCAATTCGGCCAAGAGCGCTTTCAGCGAGACCCCCCCTCCCCCCTGTGGCTCAGCCATGCAATTCAGGTAGACTTGCAGAAAAAGCATCCCTGCCAAGGAGAGAAGATGGTGGGGGGTGGTGGTAGAGGGGGTGGGGAGAGAGGGCCCCTTTTTTGGGTGGGGGGGGGGTTGGACTGAAGGACCTCTGTTATTCTGTTCTGTTACTCTTCTTTCTATGATCATGGGTAACCATCCCAAGAAGCCCAAAGAAAACTTGGAATGCTCTAGGACAGGGGTAGGCAACCTTGGCTCTTTTATGACTCGTGGACTTCAACTCCCAGAATTCCTGAGCCAGCTTGGCAACCTCTCCCTTTCCCCTCAGCATGGCTGGCTCAGGAATTCTGGGACTTGAAGTCCACGAGTCATAAAAGAGCCCAGGTTGCCTACCCTTGCTCTAGGATCTCCTGTCTCAGGGAGGGGGTTGGACTAGAAGACCTCCAAGCCCCCTTCCCCAGCCCTGCTATTGTATGTTCTATGTTCCTTCCACCCTGTTTCAGCTGCAGCCTCCCTCCTCCTGCTGTTTAGGGCAGCCAGAATGGCCCAGCCTTAGCCCGGAAGTGCCTGTGTCTGGTACCCAACATTAAGGGATACTGGGGGGGGAGGACGAAGGAGGAGGGGGTCAACCAAGCTGTGAAGCAGCCAAGATGGGCCTTGCAGTTCAGAGGTGGAGGATGGGGAGGGAAGGAAGCTAGTCTGGAGCAGAAGAAAACTCTGTGGCTGCCATGAATGGAAGCAAGCCCAGGTGGAAATGCGCTGCTTAAGGGGGGGGGGAATCTCTTGTTCCATAGGATGCTGCTGGCTCCCAGGCAGTAGGTCCTTCCCAGCCCCCACCCCAATCTCCTTGTCTGACAAAGCCAGGGCACTGCCCCCAAATGCAGGCCTGCTACTCCACCTACCATGCTTCTGCGCAGAGCCTGGGGTGGTTCCAAAAGGCTGAACTAGACAGTAAATCCCTTTCAGATGCCCCCTGCCTGTCCTCCCACCTTCTTTCCAGATGCCCCCACTGGCGGGGGAAGGTGAGTGGGAGGCTGCGAAGGAGAGAAGGCAGCTTCCTTGCTTATGGGCAATACCTGTGGGAGATCAGTTGCAGCCATTGGCTAGTTTGGGGCAAGGATCCATCAAGGATGCAGAGAGCAATAAGGCAACAACAGGAATAATCACCCGGAGAGTTGGAGCTGGACAGAGCAAGATGCCCTGGCAGAGCAGTTGAGAGGAGCAGTGTGTGTGTGTGTGTGTGTGTGTGTCTGTGTCTGTGTGTGTGCGTGTGTGTTAAATATCTTTTAGGGCACCCTGAGGAGAGCTCTGGGGAAGAATGATCCCCTAAGCAGTGTTTCTCAACCTTGACAATTTTAAGGCATGTGGACTTCAACTCCCAGAATTCCACAGCCAGCATTGCTGGCTGTGGAATTCTGGGAGTTGAAGTCCACATGCCTTAAAATTGTCAAGGTTGAGAAACACTGCGTAACAAGCATCCTGGTGCAACTGTGGGTTTGCAATGTGCCCTGGGGGGGGGGAGGCGAGGCACACATAGGAGATGGCTCAAGTGTCAGCTGTTTCTCTCCTCTGCCATTCCATCAGTCCCCATGGACCCCCCTCCGACGTGAGCTCAGCGGAGCATCACTTTTCATCCCCCCCCCCGCTGCAGTTCTGGTCTCCGTGTTGTGTTCCTGCAACTAAGTGTTCAGGGCATGGGATTCTCCCGAGCATGGCAAGGGCCAGGCAGGGGAGGAGGAGAGATCTCTGGGGTCTTAGAGCAGCCCCTTCCAGCCCTGGGCACAGGTGATTCTGTGCCCTCTGGGGGCGCCCTGTGCCAAGAGGGTGCTGCAAC